TCTTACGTGTTAGACCAAGTGACTGTGAGTCTCTAAAACTATAACTTCATGACTTATTGACGTAATTTCCCTTAGTATGCGCAAGAACCTCGTGATCCGGATTCAGAGGCCTAATTGGATCATATTGAGCTTATATAGAAATTCTACAGTCACTACAAATGGAAATCCTTGTCTAACAATCCTAACTCGTAGCCATCTACAATCATTTGGGTTCCATATATGAATTACTCTGTTCGATCAGAAGCAAACAACAATAAATATCTTCAATTATTGATCTGTCTATAGTTTCCAATTTCCATCAGGACACGAGCAAATAGATCATACATGGAAAACGAAAAGCTAAATTTAAATATAAGCATATATACATGGGATAGATATTGAGCAAACGCGAAAAGAAGACGACGAAGAAGAAGAAGAAGGGTATATAAAGCATACCTGTTCCTGATTCAGACGGCAGGAATAAAGACGATGGTGGATCTGATGAGCGTGGTGGAAGGTGGTAACGAAAAGTCAAAGCTGAAGTGGCGAGAGTTGTTTTGTATGGAGGAGCCTTGCTTCCTTTCACATGCCGTACTTTTCACTTTACTTTTTTGACTTCGATAGCAGCAAATCTAAGCGGAGATTGTGCTGTTTCTTCTTCATCGTCCACGCTTACAGCTATACACTCCTCTCCCCGCCCCCCCTCCTGTCATTTGTTGCTGGAGATATGGAAAGTCAGGTGAATATTAACATTTTAATAATTTTCTTCCCTTCCACACTTTTTGATAGCATCTCTCTCTTTTTTTTTGGGCAGTCATATTGTCATTTTATTTAAGGTTTAATCAGCAAGAAATGTATGTCGGCCAAAAGAAAAAAAATCAGCAAGAAATATATTCCAGAATCTTATTTATAAAACAGAGAAAAAATTATTTTCTTACTACTATTTATAAATTATTTTATTAAATTTTTAGAATGAATGTATTATTTTGTCATTAATTTATTATAGTGTAAATAGTTATCTTTTTTAAAAATATATATATTAAATAGAAGTAAAATTGAAAAGCTATTATATCTTAATATAGAGTTAATACAGTTTGAGATTTTTCTTAATATGTGTAAAACATATTGAGCATGCCTAAGAGGGCATTCGACTTCATTATCATATTTTATCTATTTTATTTTTATGTAGTAAATATTATAAGTAATTAATTTATATAATTAATTTAATAATGAATGATATAACTTAAAAATGTACTGTAAATTTTCTGTGCCTTTGAATGATATAATTTTTATTTAATACCTAATATTCTTTAAAAAAAATACCCATGAATCATGATTTGACTTAATTATTAATTCTTGGGATAATAGTAAAACTTTTCATCTGTTAAGTTTAGCTTAGTTATAAATTTGATTCACGAAGTTTAATTTTTACCAGTCAAATCCTTAAAGTTTTCTAATCATGCAAGGTTCTTATGGTTCAAAGACATATAATTAAAACCACACATAGCATGACCATTAACTCAGAGAACAACCTTGGCATGGATTGCAGAAGAAATTGTTAGTTCATGAGATCAATCAAATAAAAATACGGAAAATGACACAAAAATAACACTTAAACATGAAAATGTCAAAATGATCAATTGAATTTGTAAAATCCTAATTTAAGTATAAGTAACTAATTTGACATTTGTAAATTTACTGAAATGACCATATTGCCTTTTATTTTATTTATTATTTATTTAAAAAAATAACCCTACTGGCCGCCCGGTCCCCAAAGCTTAGGTGGCCACCGTCACTGAAGCTCTGGCGACTTGCAACAATTTTTTTGAAGATTTTTACAATTTCAGTAAAACAATTAACAAGTTTTGTAACACTATTAACAAGTTCAATATAACAGTTAACAACAGGTTTTCTAGAAAATTCAAAAAATAGCATTTTTACAACTTCAGTAATGCCATTAACAAGTTCCCTAACTTTATTAATAATTACGGTAAAGCATTTAATAACAGGTTTTCTAGAAAATTTAAAAAAAAAAGGTATTTTTACAACTTTAGCAACTACTTTTTTTTTGAAAATTTTTACAATTTTAGTAAAACAGTTAACAAGTTTTGTAACGCTATTAACAAGTTCAGTATAGTAGTTAACAATACTTTTTTCAGGAATTAAAAAAGTAACATTTTTACAACTTCAGTAGTGTCGTTAACAAGTTCTGTAACTGTATTAACAAGTTCGGTATAGTATTTAACAATAGTTTTTCTGAAAAATTCAAAAAGTGACATTTTTACAACTCTAGTAACACGGTTACCAAGTCATGTATCGATATTAGCAACTCTCATGAAGGTTGATGTTTTTTATGTTATAAAACTTGTTAACTGTTTTACTGAAGTTGTAAAAATTTTCAAAAAAAAGTAGTTGCTAAAGTTCCAAAAATGCTCTTTTTTTTGAATTTTTTAAAAAACCTGTTATTAAATGTTTTACCGCAATTATTAATAAAGTTAGGGAACTTGTTAATGGTATAATTGAAGTTGTAAAAATGCTACTTTTTGAATTTTCTAGAAAACCTGTCGTTAACTGCTATACTGAACTTGTTAATAGTGTTACAAAACTTGTTAACCGTTTTACTGAAATTGTAATAATCTTCAAAAAAATTGTTGCCGGTTGCCAGAGCTCCAGTGACGATGGCCAGTGGGGGCATTTGATTTTTTAAAAACAATAAATAAAATAAATGATAATATGATCATTTCAGTAAATTTATAAATGTCAAATTGGTCACTTATACCTAAATTAAGATTTTGCAAATTCAAGTAACTATTTTGGCATTTCCAAGTTTAAGTGTCATTTTTATGTCATTTTCCTATAAAATACTACTGTTCCACCAATAAGAGTTATCCATTTGGTAAGGAGTCAGCTCATAACCCACAAGATTGTAAGCTCGAATTTCGTTGTTGTTGTGAGGACTTTGTTAGTGGGCGATTTGTAAGTATTTCTATAAGAGTTTTTTTGAGTCTAGAGGTATGCCTTAATCCTGGTGAGCCCCTGGGACACAACTCACCTAAAATTTCATTCACAAAAAAAAAAAAACTACCGTTTCTCCATATAAAAGCTAGTTTAACTTTTAATTTTATTCTAAATATAAGATCTCAATATATTTTGTCTCTTATGTTTATTTATTTTTTGAAAAATATTTCTTGTAGTTTTAGGATCTGTAAGTATCTCCATATGTTTATTTAATTCTGTAAGTATCTCCATATGTTTATTTATTTTTTGAAAAATAATTTAAAAAACTACCGTTACACATGTTAAGATTCCATCAAATGGTAGTTTTACCTCGTACACATGACTAACAAAGGTATTTTAGGAAAAAGATAACACATATTTATTACAAATAACTAATTTAACTAATTTTCTCAATATTTTTAAATTATTTAATTAGGTTTTATATTAAGGATAGGAAGTAGTATAAAATTATATATGAAACCACATAAACTTGATGGACCAAAAATTCCATTATATCTCACTTTTCTAAATAAATTTTATTACTGAAATTTAAAAAATTAATCACAAAATATTGTATAATAAAATTCAATATATCATTAGTTCATACCTAAAATTTATATTACTAGCTACATAATTAATTTAGAGAAATTAAGAAAATTAGTTATGCTGATTATTTATAACAAATGTGTGTTGATTTTTCAAAATTATCATATTTAATCATGGACATTGAAATAATCTCTTGATGGAAACATCTTAACCTCTTGGTGGAAACATCTTAGAATCAACAGAGACATTTTGAAAAAAAAATTAAAAATTTAAAAAATAAAGTAAATTAAAGTCTTATATTTTAGGATCAAATTCAAATCCTAACTACCTCTTATATTTGGGATTATTGATAAATTAATTGTTTTAAACATGTAGTTTTAGTCTCTAAAATTTATTTCATTTTAAGATGTTAGTCCTTAAAAATGTAATGGTATTAAAATCTACTAAACAGTCACAAATAGCATTAAATATAGTGCCTAATTTGACCTTATGTGGATAATAGATTATGCAAAGAGTGTTAAATTCTTAAAACACAATATAATGATTAACTCCTCAAACGAATAGCGAGGAAAAAAAGGGCTAAAATGTTATGTTTTGAGGACCCCTTCGTTGTTTTTTTTTTTTGTTATCCACACAAGATCTAGTTAAGTGTTATCTATTGAGTTTATATTATCGCTTAAACAACTCCAATGGATTTGGATACTGTTATACCTTTATGAGCTAAGGTTTTAAGACGGACGAAATTTTAAAAACTAAGACCAGGAATTTCAAATTTGAGAAACTAAAACCAAAATATAATCAAATTTCCGGAAAAAAATTATGTTAACTCTTAAATATTTTATGAGTAGATGTATATTTCAACCCTAAGGTTTTTGTCTCTATAGTACCCGAAGGAGAATTCAAGTCTTGATATGAGTGATAAAGGCCACAATTAATAGTTGAGAGTTTGAATACATAATTTGATTTTTTTGGTTGGCAAAAAAAACATAATTTGATTTATATCAATTAAATTTAGGACGTTAAATCAAATTAACATGGACAATGCGACTATGATGCTATGAATTAGCGCCCATTTGGACCAAAAAAAAAAAGAATTAGCGCCCATTTAGAAGGGTTTATTAACTATTTTTTAATGATAATTTATAAAATATGAGGTAAGTATACCGGTTAATTCCAAACGGAGTCGTGATATACGAAACAATCTTGACATTAAAAAAGGGACTAAGATGCCATATGAACACGTAGGGATGAGACACGCAACCCAATAGGAATTAGCCACGTCAGAACATGGAACACGTGTACTCCAAAAATTGGATTTCGGAGACTCACAAAAATGGGAAGTTCTGCAGGCCAAATGGGAAATTACTAGAAGACCGAAACAAATTAACCATAGAAGTCCCCCAACTCCAAGGAAAACGACGAAATCATTGTCAAAATAGAATGGCATATTAGTAATTCAGAGTTTCATACTCCTGGAATTCTATTTCCACCTCGAAGTTCCATTTCATAGCTCTTCAATGAAACTGTCTTTAACACTCATTTCGTAATTAACAGAGACGAATCGGCTTTGGCGAAGAACTTCGTTTTTACGAAGAAACGATCTCTTGAAGCTGGATCTGGTTCTTTAAATGGACACATCTGGAAATTCTGAAAGCAAATCGCAGAAAATTTGAGCGATTTTCAACTCTCTCTCTCTCTCTCTTTCTGTGGGCAAGTTCAACGTATTTCTCGTGTCTTGACAATGGCTGCACCGTTCTTCTCGACACCTTTTCAGCCTTACGTTTATCAGGTATTGGCATCACTTCTCGCGGTCGACGATGCAAACTCTTAAGCTTCAATTGTTTGCTTTCTGCTAATCAATAATAACTTAGGTTAATTGGAATTTCTAATTGATATATTTGCTACATTTATGACTTGTCGACTTGCTTGATGACTAGCGAGGTTGAGTTGTTTGAGTAGGGTGATCCGGTTTACTGTTAAGGTTTTGTAACCTAGGTTGTTATTTGGGGTTTAGTTTGATGAGTGGCTTTACTGAATGATTAGCAACAATAGAAGTAAAAAGCGACAAGCTGACTGGTAATTGACTCATTGTAAATATCACAAATTTCGGACGCTTGTGTCAAACCTGACACGGCAATTCTGAATTGCACTCGAACGCTTACTATCCTTGTGGTTTCAGAATGACTTTATCATGTTGTATTTATGCTTCCACTTTTATGGATGATGAAATTGACGTAACTTATGATTTTACTATTAATGTGAATGATTCCTTTGACTAATTACACACACATTCTTGAAAAAAATAATTGAAGAAATTGCTCGGCATTCTTCAGATAATTTTGTTCTTATCTTGTCTCCTACGTAGTCTCACGGTGGATTTAATGTTATGTCATTATTTAGAGTCCCCAAGATTCAGTTATACCTTTTCAGATTTTAGGGGGAGAAGCTCAGGTGGTTCAGGTGAGTGTATTGCCATCTTAACTTTAAGATACCGATGTTTATTTGTGTTATCTATTCACAATATTAAAAAGCTGTTTTGGCTTTGGTTCGTGTGATGCAGATAATGTTGAAGCCACATGAAAAAGTAGTTGCAAAGCCTGGTAAGTTATATGACAGAATGCACTTGAATATAATATTCATATTGCATGAGTGATTTCGGGTTTTTAATGGATATGCTTTGGGGGCTTATTTCAATGATATGTACTGATGCTTTATCATGGTCATCAGTGTCAAACGAGGATGAGAAAACCAATTTATTTGGTTTGTTTATGTTTAATAAGATTTGCTCTTTTATCTTAATTTATGGATATGCATCTGAGTACATTATGAATCTTTGGTGTAATTCATTGAGACGAATATTTAATGACCCTCCACTTTGTGATTCTCGGTCCACAAGTGATCCTGTAGGAGTTGGTTGGCTTGTGCGCCTTAATGTGGACGACAAATAAAAAATTCACAATGTACATGAGACTCACATCATCCTAATATATGGCACTCTATGCCTGTGTGTGTGTGTGTGTTTTTTTTTTTTTTTTTGAGAGAGGGGGGGGGGGTGGGTGAAACTATCACCGCTGGTGATGGTTATAGCCTAATTGCAGTGGAAGAAATACTTACAAGAGCGTGAGGATATATGAATGAAGAATAAATTGTCTAGCCTGTGTGAATGTGAGAATGATCCAAAAGAAGACATAAACCAAAAGCAGAGTATTAGATGATGCTATGCATGGTGATGCTCTTAAACCAAAACAATGTCTATGTGGCACGTGCTTCACTTTGTCTCTTTTTGCTTTAAGCATAGGGGGAAAATTGTATTTTTTTATTTACAATGATATATATATTTGTGCTTGTTTGTTGAAAAATTTAGTGTGTCTTGCATCAAAATTTAGGGCAGATTTGCTTAAAAATAGTTTTAAAAAGAAGTTGGACACCAGATTCCCCATTGGGATCTGGTTTTACACATAGAAAACCAAGAACATGTAAAGGTATTTGGGTATTACAAATAAAAAATATCCGGTGCCATATTAGGATGCAAAAGCCAGAGTTGGTTTATTAATAATATATGAGATTACCCTATCTTTTTTAGTTTGGGTGGATAATCCTGCATTTCCATCTCTGTTCATTCATATTTAACATGAATTTTTAATATTTAGATTGCATCTATCTTTGTTTCAGTATTAATATAAAGGAAACTGATTTTTGTAGGTTCCATTTGCTTTATGTCTGGATCCATTGAGATGGAAAATGTCTACATCCCGGAAAATGAAGTTGGCATGTGGCACTGGTTATTTGGCAAGACTATAACTAGTGTTGTTCTTCGGAATCCTGGACCCAGTGATGGATTTGTTGGAATTGCTGCTCCTTCTCTTGCTAGAATTCTCCCGGTTTGTGCCTTCACTGGTCTCCAAAATATTTTGACAAAGCCTTGTTACTTCTCATTTCAAGCTTGTCCAGCTGATGAAAGTCATTTTCATATATGTTGCTCATGTGAAATTGTGAATACAGATGGATTTGGCGATGTTCGATGGGGAAATTTTATGTCAGGTATGTGTTGCGTTTGCTTTGTTGTTCCATTTATATTTTCCCTAATGTTTCTTTGAGTATTTTAGATAGCCTATATTTGATATTTATGGGTCAACTTTTGTTGATTTCTTTTTTAAATCTTTGAGAGCTGGAATTTAACTACAACTTAAATTTTCTGCAGCCAGATGCTTTTCTTTGCTCTGTAAATGATGTAAAGGTCAGCAATACAGTTGATCAGAGGGGACGTAATGTAGTTGCTGGTGCTGAGGTGAGATAATGGTGATGCAAGATTTGTTTCGTGTTTCTTTTTTGTATTTGATTAATTGATGTCACTTGAAGTTTAACAAGCCTAAATTATTGTCTTGTTTGTGCCAAATAATATAACTAGCAGGATGTGTATCTGCTTTTTGTCTTTTGGGTTATGGTTGTGACTGATTGATGCAAGTTTTTGGAGGCTTATATGCATTTTGATGATTAGATTATAAACATATTATATGGAAATGAAAACCAATAGATACAGTCATGGGGTTGTTTTAGCAATTTAATTTAGCTTTTCACAGAGCCACTATCACTACATCTATTAATCTGAATTCTGAAATGCCGGTTCATATTCCTTGAATATTCTAAAATGATCCTTTTGCATTTGTCTTCAATCATTAAACATATCACTGAAAATATTTTTTATTATTATGTCAGAATTCTAGTAATATATTGGTTGAAAATACACATTCCTTTTCTAATTTTGAGTTGATGATGTAGCATCACTAATATTGTGAACGGTTGGACTGTTTTTTTTTTTTTTTTGGGTTGTGAAGTGTTACTTTAATTTTTTTTTTTAAAATTAGAAATGCTAATATCACGTGGTTCATTACACATCCAAACAGCAGTATGTGGAAAACACTGAATTTGCAAAATTTACAGAGGACTAAATCAGTCGCTTGTGTGGGGGAAGTTAACACAAGTGGAAAAGTATTATGACTTCAAACCATTGCTTAGATTCATTTCTCAAAAAGTTTACCAAGAAGATTGGAAGAAATTGTGATTTGTTGTCTTGAACAATGACTGTGAGTACTATAAATTATATATTTTGAATATTCATCTGACAAAGTTTCATTGATGTGTGTCTCTGGTAAGAGTTGGCATGCAAGATCACTTAATATGTGCTTAAGAAGTCTAACGGTGGGGTGCAAATATTGTAAATGGAGTGAGGCTGTGTGGGTACATATAGAACTACTACTACTGGTAAAGTGGATTTTATATTAAGGATCAGACATAGTAATTTCGTTAATAATGTAAAATAGAGATGCTTTGAAATTTGGTCATAACCTGCATTTTTTAGGGGGGAAATTAGAGTGGATTGCTATCGGAAATGGGCTAGGGAAATAGTTGGCCTCCCTGACACGCATATCTTCATCTTATATATCTTGTAGGGATTTCTCAGGCAGAAGCTATCAGGCCAAGGGCTTGCATTCATGCTAGCGGGCGGATCAGGTAAACTTCCATTAGCTGTCAAAATTACAATTAAGAGCTGTTGCTTTCATCCTGATTTCCAAACCGTTTGTCAGGATTTTTGTACTTTTTCAAAACTGTTCTTAGTTGGAGCTTTCATATTTTCCTTTGTGTTTGTAATTCTTTTATTACCCAGAATTTTTACTGGGCTTTGTTTATTAGTTATACAGAAAAATCTTGAGGTCGGTGAAATGCTATCTGTTGATGTTTCTTGCATTGCTGCTCTCACGACAACTGTCAATATCCAAACAAAATACAATGGTCCAGCAAGAAAGGCAATGTTTGGGGTAAGCAACTCCTTTTTCTGAAACCTCTTTTTATCAGCATGCACCCTCTCATTTTCGACCCTGAAAGCTTCATATTGATAATTGCAATCTCGAAATTACAGGGTGACAATGCTGTAACGGCTCTTCTGACTGGACCTGGCATTGTCTTCATACAAAGTTTGCCATTTCATAGACTCTCTCAGAGAATTGCTAGGTAACATTGCAATGAAGTGATAGAATGAAATTAGAACATCACTTGAATTGAGCATTGCAGGCTAATCACTCGTCTTCTGCTTCCATTCTTTTTCTCTTTTAAATGTCTGGAGTTTGCGTGTTTTTGATAGCACAAATTTCTGAATTTCAGGGCAGTGACATCCCCAAACATGAGGGAAAATCCCAAGTTCTTCATTCAGATTGCCATGTTCTTTTTTCTGGCTTACGTAGTCATTGTATCTTCATTAATATTGACCGATGTATGAAATTTACTTTAGTTTTTTTTTGGCTCAAATAATTCTTTCACCAATTTGCCCATAGTAATTGTAGAGCTCTAAAGGTTAGTAGGTAGGTACAGAGTATTTCGGATCTTGTGGTCTGTTGTGAAATTTCATATCCGACTCAGAGCAGGCCATTTGTCCTTTTACTCCCCGATGGTTATGGGATTGATATAAAAATATTTTGCAGCACTTTCTTGGAAGAGATATCGTGGAATTCCTTTCAGTCTTTTAACTAATGGGCTAATGCCCGTTATTGAAAATATTAGAAATTATAGTTCTGAATTATTTTGCTTCCTATTGGTGGGAGAAAAACCTGAACTTATTAGAAAATAGCAACATCAACCAGGTTATGCGATTCATCAAGAAGAATGAATACTGATTTGTATGATTCATTGGCTGCGAACTCCATGATGCGTGGCAGTGAGAACAGGATTGGAATGACAGAAAATGACTAGAGTGGGAAGTCCTATGAGCAACTTTAGGAGGAAGCTTTACCCAAAAAAAGGAAGGTTTTGCATGTTTCAGCAAATCATGTACCTGTGTGGCTGTGTCTGAGCAGGATGTGCGTTATTTCTTGGCCATCCTATTCAGGATATGTTGTGGAAGGAACTATTCTGCAAAAGCAAAAATTTATCTAAAACTTGCGTAAATGACATTTATAATGTTATATATTTATTAATCAGAGAATAACATGGAATGAGGGCTAGTCAGAGATATAGCAGGTAGGTGGCGTATTGGATTTTAGAGACGACTAGGATTCCTCCTACCAACGGCAGTAGAATTGATGGCCCTACGAACAGATCTGTAGATGTGTAAACAGTAAGGATTCAGCAGGATAATGGTATTCACTGATTCTATAGAAGCTGTTAGGTTGATCGAAACTGAAGGAGGTGCAAATCACTTCTTGCACACGGAGGTAACAGAGATCAGGGAGCTAATCTACTTAGATTGGGACATTAGCATCAAATATGCACCAAGGAATGCACCCCAATGTGCAAATTTGATGGTGAAAAAGGCCTAGTTTATAGATGATGAATTGGTCTACTGGAAGGAACCCCCACAGGAGTGCCTCTCACGGCTACAAGATGATGTGGCCCTAGCCAATATGGTAGCCACCAACTACTAAATCAAGTTTACTTGCCTTGTATCATTCAAAAAAAAAGAAGAAAGAAGAGCATAACATGGAATATGTTTCTAGTTTATTCACGATCAGAAAGGGAGAATATATATACAATAGAGGAGTCCTAAGCATTAATGACTCATTATTAGGAGATAATATCTTATAATATAATATCTTATCATATCTGATTTGATCCTATACTAATTATAATATATCTACATATCTTTACACTCCCCTCAAGTTGGAGCATAGATGTCAATCATGCCCAACTTGTTACAAAGATGGACAACACGAATCCCATTCAAAGCTTTAGTAAGGAGATTATCCAACTGATCACTGGATCTCATGTGTCCTGTTAAGATGAAGTTTTTCTTGATCTCATTCCGAACAAAATGACAATCAATCTCAATGTGTTTTGTACGTTTATAGAACACCAAATTAGAAGCTATGTGTAAGGCTGCTTTATTGTCGTACCACAGTTTTGTTGGTAACGAGGTTTTAAGACCAACCTCCTTCAGTAATTGATGTATTTAGACTATCTCGCATACAGATTGTGCCGTAGCTCTATTTTCTGCCTCTGCACTTGATCATGACACCACATTTTATTTCTTGCTCCTCCAAGATATCAAATTTCCTCCCACAAAGACGTAATATCCTGTAGTGGATTTTCTTGTGGCCTTTGAACCACCATGATCAACATTACAAAAGGATTCAATATCTGTATGATTATGATTTTTGTATAATATCTCACAACCTGGAGACCCCTTCAAGTAATAAAGCACATGCTCTAAAGCTTCCCACTGTCTGATAGTAGGCAAGACCATAAATTGGCTAGGTACACTGACTGGATAGGTGATATCAGGACGGGTCACAATAAGATAATTCAATTTTCCAATCAATCTTCGATACCTCTTTGGATTCTCAAACGGCTTGCTCTTAGCAGCATCAACGAGATTCTTAAATGGTATGCTTCCATCAGCATCAAGTAGTGGATTATAAATCATAGGAAAACTGTTTGGCGTAGCCCCTAACTTTCTAGTTTCCTTCAACAGGTTAAGAACATACTTCCTCCGAGTCAATAAGATTCCTTTCTTACTTCTCAAGACCTCAATTCCAAGAAAATACTTTAACGGGCCAAGATCTTTTGTTTGGAAGTGAGAATTAAGAAAGGACTTAAGTGATGAGATCCTTGACATATTACTCCCTATAATCACAATGTCATCTACATACACAACCAATAGAATCATGCCAGTGTCTGTTCTCTGATAGAGCACAGAGTGATCACACTTACTTTGACACATGCCAAACTTCTGTGCAACAGTACTGAACCTGTCAATAAAGGATCTCTTGAGACGACATACTTTCCCACACACTCCCCCTAAGCAACAAAGCCTGGTGGTTGCTCCATATAAACTTCTTCAAGGAGATCACCATGTAAAAAGGCATTTTTGATATTCAATTGATGGAGATCCCAGCCATAGGTTGCCGCTATAGAGATGAAAAGATGAAAAGAGAAAAGTTTCACAATAGGGGAGAAAGTTTCAGAGTAATCAACACCATAGGTCTGAGCATAGCCTTTAGCAACCAAGTAAGCTTTAAGATGGTCAAGGGTACCATCGGCTCGAGTTTTAGGGGTTAAGACCCACTTACACCCAATAGCCTTCTTCTCTGCCGGTAGATCCACTAAAGTCCAAGTGCCAGCCTGGTTAAGGCCCGCCATCTCCTCTTCCATAGCAGCACGTCAACTCTGGTGGGCTAAAGCTTAGTAAAGGGTCTTAGGTATGGAAATAGGATCTAAAGAAGAGATAAAGGCACGAGAGGTAGGGGAAAGGTGGTTATAAGAACAAATGAGAAAATAGGATGGGCGTTAGTACGTTTACCTTTGTGAAGAGCAATGGGCAAGTCAAGTGAAGGGTCTAGATTAGGAACAGGAGGTGTCTCGGAGTTGGAGATAGGTGTAGGCTTAGAATGAGAGATGCTCAACACAGGATCTGATGACAAAGCAGACAATAGGGGGTCAGAAGCTGGGATGGTGACATGGGTCTCCTTGGAACGTCTTGTGTACACACGAGACAGGGGTAGTGGCACAGGTGCCTGAGCAGGAGTTGGAGCCAGAGGTAGTGGAGTGGGTGGTGGGAGAACAAGGTACACCATAAGGTCATCCTCTTCCACAGATAGAGGAGGGACAGGTGAAATGGATGGAGAAAAGTATGGAATCGATTCCTGAAAGGCAACATCTACAAAAACTAGATAACGATTAAGAGGAGAAGAGAAACACCGATAACCATTTTGAACCCGAGAGTATCCAAGAAAGACACATTTAAGAGACTTCAGATCTAATTTGGAGACAGATAGTCATACATCCCGGACAAAGCAAACACACCCGAAGATCCTGGGATTAACAGGAAACAAAGGTTTTGAAGGGAAAAGAGTAGTATAGGAAATGTTACCATCAAGAATTGAAGAAGGCATGCAGTTAATGAGGAAGCAAGTAGTGGAGATAGCATCAACCTAGAAAGTTTTGGGAACCTTCATTTCAAATAGAAGTGTTCGTGCCACTTCTAGTAAGTGGTGATTTTTATGTTCTGCAACACTATTTTGAGCTGGTGTATCAACACAAGAAGATTGATGAATGACACCATTTTGAAACATATAGGATTGAAATGTGGTAGAAAAATATTCTTTAGCATTATCACTTCGTAAGGTGCGAATGGAAGTATGAAATTGAGTTTTAATTTTTGCAAAAAAGGCAAAAAAATGAGGGAATAATTCAAAACGACTTTTCATTAAATATAACCAAGTTGTATAGGAATAATCATCAATAAATGTAACAAAATATTTGAAACCCACTATTGACTCAACAGGACACGGACCCCAAATATCCGAATGAACTAGCTCAAAAGGAGACGAAGCCCATTTATTGAGTCGAGAAACTAAAGGAAGACGATGATGTTTGGCAAACTGGCATAACCACAATCTAAAGATGACAAATGTTGAAACTAAGGATCAAATTTTTTTAAAGAAGACAAAGACAAATGACCCAAACGACAATGTGCTTCAAAAGGAGTGAGACCACTGGCACAAGCCATAGCACGAGACCCTTACTTGTCAAGGAAATAATGTCCACCAAATTCATAACCCCTACTAATAATCTTCTTCGTGAAAAGATCCTGTATCAAGCAATGATCAGGAAAGAGTGAGACCCAACAGTTTAATTGACGAGTAAGTTTACTAAGGGAAAGCAGGTTAAATGCAAGGTCAGGTACATCTAGCACAGATGACAAATGAATGGAGGGGGTAGGTTTAATGATGCCTGATTCGAGGACCCCTGAATGGGAGCCATTGGCAATAGTGATAGTTAAAGGATTGGCGTAAGAATTATAAGTAGAGAAGAGATGGTGGTTACCTGTCATGTGGTCAGTAGCATCAGAATCTATGATCTATTTGGAGGAAGAAGAGACAAGAGCAATAGCCTCATTACCTGTAGCAGCGGAAGCATCCACGGGTGTTGCAGCAGATTTAATTGAGCATATTCAGCAGCAGAGATTGTGATTTTGTCATCGGCTAGTGTTGCCACATGGCAGAGTTATTATGTTGTTGTTTGTTTTGCAGCTTGCGACAAGTATGTTTCATATGGCTCAGTTCTTTACAGTAGTAACATATCACCCCACTTGTATCTAGAGTAGCTCCCTTTTGCTTGGAACCACCACGGTTATTCATTACATGACTATCATTTGGGCCTCAACTAATGAGAGCACTGACAGGAGTAGTCGGAATTGGTGATGAAAGGTTCTCAGTCCTCATCACATGAGAAAACACCTCCTGAAGAGTAGGAATCTCAGATCCAGATAAAATTTGAGAGTGAACGGTCTCATACTCAGGTGGGAGCCCAGTGAGAAAACTCATGATGGCCATGTGCTCTTGTTGGGCCTGTTGAGCCTTTAGATCAGAAGTAAGGGGCATTAGGACATTCAGTTCTTCATACATTCGTTTAAAATCCATAAAGTAGGCCTTGAGAGGATGATCCTGCTTCTCTGCACGATAAAAAGCTTTGCAAACCTCATAAACACGAGAAATATTTCCCTTCCCTGAGTGTAAAAATTCTAAATAATTCATCAATTCTTTAACAAATTCATAGTGAGTAATAGAAGGAATAATCTCACTGTCAATGGAGTTGCGGATCTGTAAGAAGAGCCGTGCATCATCCCTTAACTATGATTGAGAAGAGTTAGTGGTCGGAGGGTCCTCAGTTAAATGATTCTCCTTCTCAATGCTTCGTAAGCATATACAAATTGTCTTAGTCCAATCCAGATATTTGTCCAGTTTAATTTATGTTCAGCAATCTTAACGACTACTGGTACCACTTCAGAGGTAACTACACACTTACTATCACTTGTGAGAGATGAACAGAAAAGGAATAATAATTCTAACGGTGGGAAGAAGGAATAAGTAGCCACAAATGATCATACCAGGGACCAAACAACACCTATAGTTTGTAGAAGGTAGTAGCAATAACACCAGATCTAAAACGCTACTGTTCAGAGACCAAACAGAAGCCAAATAGCAAACCTAGCTGAACAGAAGCCAAAATCAACTCAAAGAGGAAGACCCAGATCCGAAATACCCCATGGATGGGCTGAAAATGAAGAGGTGAATTCAAGAAAGGATTTTTATGTCAGAAAGTGGCTGGAAAAGTGGTCGGTGTCGACGATGACGGCGTGTGACGCTCACATGCTCCTCGGATGGTGACAAAATTCCGATGGCTGGCCAGTTGGGACCCTGCGACTTTCCCTGGCTGGCGCGTGCTCCCACCTGAGGCCAGAAACCTGAGCCCTAACGAAGGGGCACAAAGCTGATGCTAAACAGAGACGTGGTGCAACCAGTTTTTAGAGAAAATAGAACGAAAAGGATCATAAAAGAGTTTGCTTTGATCCCATATTAATCAGAGAATAATATGGAATATACTTCTAGTTCATTCATAATCAGAAAGAGCAAATATATACACAAGAGAGGAGCCCTAAGCATTAATAACTCATTATTAAGAGATAATATTCTATCATATCTGATTTGATCCTATATTAATTACAATATATCTACATATCTTTACAATATTTAAATCTCACATTCGCAAAACTTTCCAGTTTTTCAAGCAAAATAAAAAATATCATGTCAAAAGACAAAATCAAAATTGAAAGTAGAAGTTCGTATTGGGCAAGGTCATGGGAAAACAGCGATACTAGGCATGGCTTGCTAGTTGCTCATCTGTTGCTACTGCAATGTGTTTGTCTTATATAAACACTATTTTTACATACACATCTCATCTTCTGTAAATCATGATAAAAAAAAAAACTGATCCAAAACTATATTTGCTAATGTGAAAATATCATTCCAAGTTTTCAGTCTAGTTTTGTTTTCAATCCGTGCAAAATTTATTTGCTCCATTGAAAATGTTACCGATGAGGTGAAAGGTGCCTGGACCTTTTGCATCTAAAGATCTGCGACACTTCACCATGTCAAAAGAGTATCACACGAACAACAAAAAATACGTATGAGGGACAATTCCCTTATTTACTATCTGCCATCTCTTAAAAATCTCTAACATTTCCAAAATACTCCCTAAATTGAAAGAATCTGAACTCCGTCTTATCCCTGCAACATTTTTTAGCATACAAAATAAGCCGGTCGGCATTTAAGTCCGCAGGCACCGGCACAACCTTAATAAAGCCGGAGAACATAATTATAATTGCCAGGCAACATTCAACCCTGCCTCATTTTGGAGCCAATATTCATTCTTTTTTTTTTTTTGGGTGGGGGTGATTCGTGGGGTGAAACAAACTAAAAAATGATCATCTTCCTCGAATGGAAGTGATTCCCAAAGCAGTTACAATCAAGATGGGGAAGATTTCAAATGCTCTCACTCAAGATTCCCGAGGTCATGATATTCTTGAGATACGGTGATAATGCCATGCCACAGTCGCTAGTGAATTTGCCATCAATTTCCCAAGCATGGACCAAACTTGATCCTCACTAAGAACGCAGAACAACGTGCAATTCGATATGGGAGCAAGAAATTCGCTTGCCTTGATCATCGCCTGCGGACCAGCATGCAAAAGCATTTTAGGAAAAAAAAAAAAACCAATGAAAATAACAGCTTCCCCTCTAAAAGATCACCTATAGTATGCTATAGCAATTCCTAAATATTATCAATCCACCTCCAAACTTTTGATCAATAATCTCTAACTATCACTATTCTTATGCATCAAATTAGTGAATCAAATTCTGCGCAAGTCCAAACGGTACA